TACCCATTAAACCCGTGGGTTTAATGGTCTGGTCTAAAAAGCCCGCAATTTAAACGAGCTTTAGTTTTTGAGTCCTGAAGCCCGCACGGGCCCCGGGTTAAACGAGTAGCCCGCGGACCTTAGCCCATATACCCAACTCTACCCATGACCTAAGGTAAGAAAAATTTTTCTTTTAAAATTTTGAGAAATTTCCTTTGGATTTTGGATCATGTCGTGAAATAGAAAATTATTCTATTCAAAAAACGCTATCATTTTGATGCAGGGGGATCCGAGACAGATGATGCTAAGCTGTCAGATTGCACGTTGATGGCGCTGAGATACCATGAGTTGGCAGATCAGCGCAAAGGCGGGAATTGATTGTGACATGTTCTTCATTGGGGTCGTTTTGAGTATGTTTCAGTCTTTTGGCAATAACTTTGGCTACAGGTGTCAGAATCGCGCATAAGACCCCAATCCGGAAAGCTCTTTTCGACGCTCCACATTGAGCTATGCTCCATGTGACCTTTTTTTCAACCTCAAATTCTACCGTTTCCCCCTCCGGATCACTAGATTTAGTTATTTTTTACTATTTATGGTAATATTTCGATTGTTAATTAGGAAGTCAATTTAAATCCGATTTAGGCCGGATTTTTGGGAGATTGCTTATTTTATTTCGAATTTCAATTTAGAGTGATTTTCGGGATTTTGCTATTTTTGGCAAAATTCGAATAAAGACGATTTTTGGCTATAACAATCCGGCTTGTGGACTGCTTTTTGGATGGTTTGATTTTATAATATTTTATTAAACCCTAGAGACTTTTTTCTCTGGTTTTTGGGTGAATTTTCTCTTGTGAATCGTCTGTCGGAGCTAGCCTATAGGATAATCACTATTCTGTCTGGCGTCACATTTGGTACCATTATTGTTTGCTCCATTACTCTATTCGAAAATAATTTGGTTTGTGCTGAAAGAAAATTTGGTTTGTGTTGAAAGATCCCAAATTCTAGGATTTGTGTTCACATTAGAGTTTATGAAATTGATTAAGGATTTTGATTTTTTGAGGTTGTAGAATCATATACAAGCTTGATTGTTGATTAAAATCACTTGTACTTGCCTATATAAACCTATGTTGAATTTGAACAAACCCTAGCTTTAGGGGAAAGATGTATTTTGATGAAATTAAGTTAGAGGTTTATTCTAGAGGTCCTGAAATGTTGAATGAAGATTGGTTTCATACTTGAATCAAGTGAAAATCATGAGAAATATACCCCTAAAGCATTTTTCCATGAGGAAATAAGTTGGGAAAATTGTGGAAAAGTTCCCATGGATTAGAAATGATATATGGAAAGTTCTACAAGCCGTACAAATTTTTTTTGGTCATTTTGTAATTTTTTAAAAGTTAATGGACCTATTTGATAATTTTGAAAAGTTATGGGATGTAACACCCAACCCGTACCCGAGCCGGATACGAATCTGAGGTGTCACATTGACTTTTCAAAACATTTACTTTGACAAAATCTCATAAATTTAAAACTTTTATTAAAAGAACAGTACAATAATTTACATAAATACTACCAAAATGATTACAAAAATCATTCAGAGCATTTGTGATTTAAACCGTAATTACATGCTAACATAATTCTTACAACAAAATAACATACTATTTAAAGCACTTCTGATCTGATCGCTTTAAAAGGAGATGCTGCCTTCCTAGACTTCAACTCTGGTGTTCTTACTTCTTGGTACCTACGTGTAAACCACTTACATGCTAAGTCACATACTTAGTGAGGTATAATAACACGTGTAACAATGAATTCATGACACATGCACTACTATCATTCCATCGCGACATTACAATTTGCATGTAACTAATAAACTATAACACATATGATCATGACATGCACAAGTGAAACCTGACTTCTTATGAAAGTTTCGATTCAATTTATCTTTAAATGCCCATGTACATTATTGAGAACAGGAGGTACATGAGTACACTGAGGTTTTGCACAAATGTTGTCACCACAGCTCGAATAAATTCCCACTAGGGGCACTTAAAATTTGTCCCAAAGGAGCACTTTGTCCCGAATGACCACTATGTCCCGAAGGACCACTATGTCCCGAATAAATTCCTATAACTCTCATATTATATAACATGAGCTTAAATATGTATACATTTCATATTTTCATATCTCTTTTATTACTTCTCATATAAACATATTAGTCACTTCACATGCACACATATGATCACTTTTCTTATTACACATTCTTGGATTTATTCTCTTATGACTGCATACATTACATATTATATCATTTTAAAGTACTCAAGAGTTATACAAGTACACATTATACTCATAACATGTACATATATATGAAAAAAGAAATCATGAAATCAAATATAGGAAATAGACTTATCACCAGTCTTATTTCCATTGAACTATATTTATAGTATGCACTCACCTTAACCTCACTTGATTCGAATTGATTCTAGAACTTTATCTCTTTCTCGACCATTTCTAATTCTTCGATTGTTCCGGAACGGGTTTACTTTCAATATCTACGTAATCAAACATTTATACATATCAGTATTCTAAATAGCATACTCTGATTCTTCATTCTTAAAATAAAGGAGAGGCGAAATTTCATTTTCTATTTGAAGTAGTATCGATACCTCCTATAGGGTATCGATACTTCCCTAACTGTGGTATCGGTACCATGCCTAGGTATCGATACCCATATTGCATTCTGTAATCCTTGTTTCAAAGATGATATTGATATCGTCCTTATGGTATCGGTACCCTTGGTATCGATACTGTTATTCAGGTATCGATACCTCATGAATGTCTTCCCTATTTTACTCTTGAAGTATCGGTACCTGATGAAGCAGTACCGATACCCCATAGCCCATAAATCACTTTTTAAGCCCGAAAATTAATCCATATCAACTTAAATTCTTCATGTTTCATTCTCTTTCATACTCTTAACTCACATACATATACTTAAACCCATTTGTACTCATTTATCACATCTTTATCTTCAAAATTCTATCCTTTATATAGAAATCAAGAATCATACCAATTTTTCAATATGTTCTTCTTTCAATTCTAACACTTCCTATTTCTTAATTAGGTTGATTACAAGTCAATTTCAGTTTCAAACTTTATTTACTAACCCTTTTCCAAGATTTCATTTATTCCCCTTTTATCTTCAATCCTTTCTAACTTCCATATCTTTTTATTTTAAGATAACTTAAGTTTCCCTTAAGCTTAAGTATCATCTAATGATCAAAACCCATGCTTAACATTAACTAATAATCAACTAACAAGAAAACTCACCTTTCCAATGCCCTTCACGTATGGAGGAAGAAGAAGAATGAGAGAACTCTGTAAACTTTGATTTTTTCCTCCTTTCCCTCCACGTGGGTTTAATATAACCATAACAAAATTTAATTATTTCCTTGCCAATTTCCATTTTGTCCCTCTATTCCTCCTTCTTTGCAATTCAATCCTATACCAAATTTATAATATAAGTCCCTAAACTATTCAAATTATCTACTTTAGTCACCAAATTCTAAAATTTTATAATTTAGTCACTAACCCGATATTGAGGATGTTACATGAGATGACTGTGTAAATACTCAATAATTGATGTACATTACTGGAAATTAATGTTTGAGGGATGAAATTGAATTTAGATTGTGAAATTAAGCTATTTTGGAAAGTTGGCAAAGTTTAAGTACAAAATGGTGAATATTGAGAAAGTTAGTGACTTAAGTGGTAATTATGATATTGTTGAGGTATTGAGCTGGAAATTAAATTTTGAAATTTTATTGGGCTTAATTGGGCTTGGATTGAAGAATTTATGACAATGACCCATTATGAATAAAAAGGAAAAGTTAAGATAATTTTAAAAGAATTAGAAAATAATAGTACTTTTGAGTATTATTATTTTGTAAAAATGTAAGTAAGTATACTAACATTGTATTTTATAATTGTATTTGCTTTGTATGGATGATTGTGTAGATCATGATCGAACTCGTGATTTGAGCAAAACGAAAGGCAAGGAAAAAGTTCAAGAATAATTGGATTTCGATAGTAAGACATAATAGTGAGACATATTAGGTGAGTGCATTTATTATGTACTTATATGATATGAGGACGACTTGCGATGAAACATGAATAATAGAAAAAATAAACAATACGATTCAATCAACTTTGAAAAAAAAACTCACAACCGAAATTTATTAAATTCGAATCCCTCATTATATATGTATTAAGGCTGAAAGTAATGTCTTATATTAGCTAAAAAAGAATTTAATTACATGTAGGAGTAGATAAAATAATAATAAAATAATACAATATTTACCTAAATAGGACCACAATACAAAAACAATAAATTTGATCCTAATTTATCTGAATCTCTTAATAAATAATTTTGATAAGAGGAACTTTCATTTCTGGATCAATAATTGATACAACAAAGTTAAAAGAACGAAAGAAGAACCAAAGTACCGAACTCCAGCGGCAGGCAGCCTATGAAGAAGACATCATTTGTCAAAAAAGTAAACCAATCTGAAATATTGGATCTTTGATCGTTTGCTGTGTCTTCTATTTCAATTCAGCTCAATCCAAACTAAAAAAAAAAAAAAATCATTACCTTTGAACATACAGATAGGGAAACAGAGAATTACAATAGAAAAAATGGCTGACCACTCTGATGATTTAGATCAACTTCTTGATAATATGTTTTTTGTTTTTATCCTTTAAGTTTATTCCTCTGTTGTTTCTTAAACCGTATGAATTTGACTTTTTTTTTTTCATTCAGGTACTTTGGATGATTTCCAGAATCTAACTTCACCACTCCTCATCACAGGTACTTTCTTTCCCTTTTAAATTTCTCAATGTTCAGTTTTGTTTTAGGCCCAAAAATTCCTTCCCTTTTCATCAAAAGCTAGCTATTTGATTAGATATGTTTCTTCCAAATGCTTAGCTTTAATTTGTTTTCTTTTGTTCATAGGAAAGGAGGAGATGGATATGGTGAAGAAAAGAAGCAAGAATCTCGTTCTTTTCCGAGTGGGGCTGTCGGGTTAGGAATGGGATTATCCGACTTGAACGGCAATAAAAAGGGAAAGCAAAAGGTGTCAAGTCGCTGAGGCTCTTGGTATGCTAACAGAACAGACCAGAGAGACTGTAAGAGGATTGGAATCGATGTCGAAACCCACGGGACATGATTTTGCCGTGGATGCCATGATGGATGATTTGGTCAAGCAGTTGGAGAAATTTTCTGTCTCTGCCTCAGGTACTTTTTGCCTTTTAAGGCTCTATTAATCTCATTTGACTTACATTGACTGTTTTCCCTGCTTTGTTATGCATTTCATCTGTCTTGACCAGGATATGGAATCCATTGTGGAGACTATGATGAAACAACTTTTGTCTAAGGAGATTCTTCGTGAACCCATGAAGGAAATCGGAGAAAGATACCCGCAGTGGTTAGAAGAGCATAAAGCCAGTTTAAGCAAAGAAGATTATGAACGCTACTCCAACCAATGTGAACTGATAATGGAGCTTAATGGGGTTTATGAAAATGATCCTACTAACTTCACCAGGATTTTTGACCTCATGCAAAATATGCAAGATTGTGGTCAGCCACCAAATGATATTCTGCAACAGCTCGCTCCGGACTTTGATTTGTTCAATCTTAACCACATGTAAGTTCTCTTCCTTTTTGCTGTAAGTTCGTTCTAAAATATTATAAGGTCGTCACTTAACAAAAAATGTATCCTATGTTGGATGAACTGTTTCTTCTGCTCTTGATTTGAAAAAAGAAGCATTTTCCTCTTGCAGATCCCCAGAAATGATCTGAGAACAAAACTGTCGTATAACGTGAGGCAACAGCCTGTGGCAATGTAGACTAGGATTCTTCAAGAAATTACACGCTCCGCATTTTGAGCCTAGTTTCTTGTTGAGCTTATGTATGTGTGATCATGGGGAAAGATGTTCAGTGTGCATCTCGAAACAGGACAATGCTAAGTTGTCTTAATGATATCAAAATCCAATCATTTTTTTTTCTTTTATGACTATCCACATAATGAAGTAGGCTACATCTTGTATGTTTTCTTGACTGATTACGATGAAATCACGAGCTTGGCTCTGTTGTATGGGTCCTACGAACAGAAAGTTGGAGGAAAATAAAGCTTTCATGATCCCCAAAACGTTGATGGCAATCACGTCTTCGTTTGTCTATCTTTTATTGCAGAAGTGGAGTTACACAAATTATTGACATTTAATTGAATTATACAAATATTAAGATAAAAATAGAGCAATTATTTCATATTATCCGAGTTGTCAAGATTAACGTGGGGTGAAAGTAATCAAAAGAAAAATGAGGATGGAACATATATACTTATTATAGTTGCTGTCTTGCTGACATGGTCCCAGTTGACCCACCAACCCACCATGAGCAACCAGTGTTGGAAAAATGGTTGAATTTATGGATGAATTTAATAGTTGAATTTTCCTTAAATATTATATATCTATGTGAATATTTTGAATTAAAGAGATATTGTGTGGATTCTTTAAAATTCAATTATTAATAGTATAATATTCTATTATTCAAATATCTATATTTAATTTAAATTCGTATATATTATTTATGAATTTATATTATATTGAAACATTCACTACAAGAAAATATATCTTTAATGACATACGAACGATGACACACGCTAATTTATGACTTGCAAAAAATATGTGTCATAAAAAAAGTCAGGTTTCTTAAAATCTGAACAATTTATAACTTACAATAATGGTTGTCCCTTGTTCTCATATGTAATGGGATAAGGAGGAGGTAAGATAGTAGGCTGCCCCCAACACTAGGTTGAGAGCAGCTTCCGTAGGAGACCTCCAAATTATGAAATGCCCTCCATGGGACTCGATCCCATGACCTCCAAATTTATGACTTACAATAATGTGTGTCATATTTAATAGTCATAATCCAAAAAATTTGTAAAAACACGAAATACGCTTTTAATTGTGTGTCATCTTTAAAAGTCGTCTTTTAATTTTCCCATTATTTTCATCCTTCCCGCTTAGCTTGTTATTTGATTTACCCTATTATTTTCATCCTTTCCGGTTAGCTTGTTATTTGATTTCTCCCATTATTTTCATCCTTTCCCGCTTAGCTTGTTATTCGATTTCCCCTGTTCTTAAAACCCCCCGCATTATGACTCAAGATGTGGAAAGTAATATAAAGTTGTTATTTGAGCTCCGATTCTTAGCTTGAAATCATACATGAGTAGGTTCCAAACATAATTTCCTTAATTCATTTGAAGGTTTTAAAAAACCAGAATGGGAGAAAGAGAAAACAGCCGGTGCCATCTTCAGGCCCTGCAAATAGGTTAGGGACAGCAAACATAGCTGGACCCTCCCCTAGTTCAGCACCTTCTACACCATCAACACACGCTCCTGGAGATGTGATTTCAATGCCCACTCTTCCTCATAGCGGGAGTTCTTCCAAGCCTATTATAATGTTTGGCGCTGATGGTGCCGACACACTTGCATCACCTTCGAATCAGTTGGTGAGTATTAATTATTTTTCAATGTTTGTGGAGGAACTAAAAATTCCTTGCATAATTTTTTATTGGAACTCCATTTTGGCAGTGGGGTGATAAAGATCTTGAATTGCAGGCTGAAATGGATCGGTTTGTGGAGGATGGGTCTCTTGATGATAACGTTGAGTCTTTTTTATCCCATGATGATACAGATCCTAGGGATGTTGTTGGCCGATGTATGGATTTAACTAAAGGTGTATAAATATTACTTGTATGGTTGTTACGATTTGATAGTCTGTTGTTGCAGTGAATCTAATGTAGCATGTTTTGTGGGACATTGTAGTTTCACTCTGTTGCCATAGTTTATGTCCTTGTTTTCTTGGATACAGTGAATATGATACTGTCCTAATTCCGAATGGCTATGACAATTAATACATCCTTATTTGAGACTAAGCATATTTAAGCATAGATACTGTATAACTCATTAACCTTTTGTACATTGTAGTCTTATTCTGAATGTTGGTTATTGCGACTATTTCATGATTTTTCTGTATTGTTTATATATCCAAATGCTAACTGAATTTTGCCGAAAGAAACCGTGCAATTGTGTGGGCGCATTCATCTATCCTTATTTCTAATTTTTAGGGATACACTTTCATCTCGTATTCTATTATTGCATTACTACATAATGAAAGTGGATTGGTTTGACGCATAATATTTTTTACAGTGTACCAAATTTGAATTTGACTTCAGGTTTCACATTTATGGAAGTAAATTCCGTTCGAACAAGCAGTAGCAAAGTTACTTGCTGTCATTTCTCATCAGATGGAAAGTTGCTTGCTACTGGTGGCCATGATAAAAAGGTTAGTCCTAAGAGAGGAGCTTAGCTTTTTTTCATACCTTTTGTGTTGGTAAGAAGTATATATATATATATATATATATATATATATTTGCAACACAAGCTGTATTATGGTACACGGACACTTTGAAGCCAAAGTCTACTCTTGAAGAACATTCATGTTTGATCACTGATGTTCGTTTCAATCCAAGCATATCACGCCTTGCAACATCTTCATTTGACAAAACTGTCAAGTTTGGGATGCTGACAGTGTTAGTGAACTTTCTTCTTTCAATTTACTTGTTATTTTGGTTTTTGAGCTAGTTATGTCTTCTTGTATGTCCATTTAAAACCCCTTAATGTTCTCATTTAAAGCATTCTGTGCATGTTCATGCTATTTCATTCTGAGTTTTCTTTCTTCTCGGTTTTCATTTAATTTTCCTTGAAAATTTCTGCAGCCTGGTTATTCGCTTCGTACATTTATAGGACATTCAGGTAACGTTATGTCACTTGACTTCCATCCAACTAAAGATGATCTTATCTGCTCTTGTGATGGTGACGGTGAAATACGATATTGGAGTATCAACAATGGGAGCTGTGCAAGACGTTTCCTGTTTCTTTATACAGAATGTTATCTCGTTTCAGGTTAAGGCATGCTCCTCTGCAAGCATTGCTCGGCTGAAGAATCTGAATAGGAGGACCCTCGATGTCCTAGCTGTGAGGTTGTACTTTTATTATTCTCTTTGCTATGAACTCACGGGTAGCCTTGCTGAAATTAGGAGGTAAGCTATACCTTATGCAAATTTGACTTATATCGTATGTTGTCTTTAGTATATATTCTTAATTTTTATCTATGAACCAGGCTGAAATGGCAGATCCTAGCTTATGGCAAAAAATTGATTAAGTCAGGACACATAACAAAGGAATCATTTGGAGCCAAAGTAGCAGTTTCTAGAAAGAGGAAGAATAGCATGCTAGGTTCAAAGAGTAAGCGTCTAAGAATTCATAATGAAGACTTTATATAGCTGAAATTAATGTGGGAAGAAGCTCAACGGCTGCTTCGTCCCCCTCCTAATCATGTAGCAAGTGTTGTTGTCATTGAAAGTTTTGAGTTTGAAGAATACGAGGTATGTTATATCTTTATTGATCCGTTTTTTTTCTGTCCACATTTAATATCTGTTGTGATTGAAATCACTTTTGGTTGTAACTGGCAGTAATAAAAGCCACTTTTATTTTGTCTTTCTAGTGTTTGTTACTCTACTTTGGCAAATTGAACTCTAACATGCATATCTTAGATTTTCTATGGTTAGTACACCCTTGACGAAGACTTAAAGGGTTGCTCAGGAACGTTTTATATTGTTTGCTGTTAATGGATGCCACCACAGAACCAAATAATTAAATGCAAGAACATCATCTCATTCTTTCTAATTCTGGCCTTTTTCAAGTTTTTTCGTTCAAAGATGTAATCCATTTTCATCATCGACTGTTCAGTTTGCTTTTGCTATGATGTGATTACTAATTAATCAGTACATTGTTTTTAGGTTGCCTATTAATAGTCTTTTGATATTTATATATTCCACAAATTATATCCTTTCTATAGGATTCTCTCTTCCCTTTTCTGTAGTAGTTCCACAATTTCTCACTTTCATTGTGTTAATAACAGGATGCACCGATTCTTGGGAAGCCAATAATATTTGCTACTGATACTATGGGGTAACTCACTTTCTTTTGGATGCTAATGCTTGTATTAAAGAAAATTAATTGTCTTGGTTGTAACTTGGTCGCAACTCGCAATAGCTGTCCTAAACCAAGCAAATACAATTTTTGTTTCTTTTGTGTCAGGGTAAAGATCTATTGGGCTCAATGTGAAGATTAAGTGGCGAAAATTGCCTTCTAATTTACTTCTTCCTTCCAAGAGAAGCCAGAGTGTGAAACAAGGTTCTCAAGGGAAGTCAGAGTTTAAGGTGGAAAGTCCTGTCTGGAGAGCTGGAAAACTTTATAGGTTGGAGACAGTGAAGGATGTCTATATCCTTGAGTTAAGTTGGGCACTACCTTGTCTTTTGCAAGAGTATCTGAAGAAACCAGAAGATTATTTGGCTCATCTTCTTGGCCATGGTATATAATTATGCATTATCTTAATGATTAAGTAGGAGGTTGTTCACGGAAGTAATAATAACAAAGAAAATGATGCATATGCATATATGAAGAAAATGTGAATGGTCCACAACTTTGATGCCTTATAAATAATAAGTGATTCTTAATTAGTATGTGGAATGTAGGTAGTGTTTTTCATTTGCTTCAATTTCCAATGTTTAACCCCTCAAGTTTATTCAATATGCTTAACTACTACTAGTACTACTATTATGCTGATATCAGATTATAATACCCTGAAATTAATATGATTGCTACTATTCCTTTCTTGTTTAGAACCACATAAGGGATAAACGATGTTTATATCTTAGTTTTTGATTTATTCATTGAGAAATTTTTTTGATGCTTAAACCATGATGTTGGCTATGTTTTGTCATGTGTACTAAAGTACAAATGTAATATCTTCTTCTGGTATTTCTGGTATTTGCTGCTGCATTCCATTAACTATTCATTTTGTTTCTTTGTTTCAGAAAA